TCTCCAAGTGAATTTTTGTACTTTGTAGAGCTGTCTCTTCTCATGTTTCCTATTTACTTGTTGTCTTTTGGTGATTTCTACAGAGTGGAAAATGTTTTCAGAACACTGATGTCTTTTAGTAGGGAAGATGATATGGGGGGGAAAAAGGCCTTTGGAGAAGGGGACTCTAATTCACTGAGAATTTTATTAAGTCACTAAAAAGATAGGAGAACATTCTCACTCTTCCATCATGGTACAAAGTGGAAATTTTCTCCAAACTGTATGTGATAGGCACAGGCATTTGGAGGAAAAAAGCTAATTCTATCTTTTGTCTAATGATTCTATAAAGGCCCTCCAAACACACTGAAAAGTCACTGTAATACTGTTCACTGTAGAGCAGAAATTGGTTTAAGGCAGACCCATCCTGGCCTTCATCCCAGCATGTTAAGTTACTGAGGCACCAAAAGGAACGACCTCATTTTAAGGTGTAGACCTCTTTCTATCCACAGGCAGCTTTATGTTGACTGTCCTAGGGAGTGAGTGGCTCTAACTGCGTGGGGGTTGGCAATCACATCTGGATATAGCAATGTCAACTCTGGCATTGCTCTGGCTGGCCTGCAGGTGGTCTCCTGTACGGCGAGGACAGCACGATGTGTGTGTGCTGCCACGACCATGCACTTGGGTGATTTTAAGAGAACAGACACAGGAGTGAATCAAGAGAATGCTTGATTTTTCCTAAGCGATGATACATTTACACAATAATCAGGTGTGCGCAAGTGTGGCAGCAGTTGTTTCATCTGGAGGTCTGCATAAAAAAGTAGTTAACCAGGAGGCACGAAACGCATGTCTCAGTGTTATCCAAGTGTGTCAAAATGCGGCACAAGCTAGTTTTTTCTTTTTTTTTAAATTACAATGTCAGCAAGACTTAAAATACATATTAAAAAATGGACTGCTGAACATTTGTGGAACCTCTGGATATGTTTTGTAGACCCAGAGAATTCCAAAGAACACAGTTTGATATGCTCTGGAGTATTGGAGCCTATGGTGGGGAGAAGATGAGAACAGTGGGGGTGGTGGGCTCTCCAAGCCACTGACAATCTATTTGGTGAATTCCAGACTTAACCTGGTCACACACTGCCTGTCAGAGTTTCAGTTTCCCCACTTTCAAAATGAGGTGGTTAATAAAGCATGCGCCAAACACCAAACTCAATGGCAATAGTATCACCCTACATGCTGTATGGTTCAGTTTAGAAAAAAATAAATAAGATTTTACATCATAAACAGAGAAGAGAAGAACATTTTCTCCCTGAGCTGCTGTTCACGGTGCTTCAAGATTATCAGAGTCATCAGGTGGCTGGTGACATCCCAGGCTCTGCTCTGAGATGCTCCCTGTCAGATCTGGGTGTACAATCAGGTATGACCAAAACTGCTGGCCAAGTGGTTGGTCTCTTTTTCTCTTTTCTCTTGACAGATAAAAATGAGTTGCACCATACACCATATTTGACATGGGAAGTACTTAGAAATGTTGACTTTAGAATGACTCTAAGTAGTATTTTAGCTAGTCATGTGGTCATTCTAGCGAATAAGCATGTATTCTGGAAACACTTCTGCCACTGAGATTATATAATCACAAGTTGTGGTTTTGACATATCACTTATATGCAAAAGAAACAGACCTCCCTGTAACCTGCTTTCTCGTTGGTTTTCCACAAATGTAATATTTCAAAGCAGGTCACAGATTTGATTTTCATGGTTTCAGAGAAACTCTTCTGCTCAAAATAACCTCTGTCAGGCGCTACATATAAGGGCCCCAGCTTATCTTCACACCCCCAGCTCTGTGCATCACAAGGGGCCTCAGAGGCTCACAGGCAGCCATTCCAGTCCAAAGGTCCACACGCGGCCTTCAAGCTGCTGCCCCTTATGCTCAAGGCGAACACACAGCAGGCACAATCCGCTGTTAGGAGGAAGACCCTGCGAGTGGCTCATGCAGTCCCCATTAAGTCAGAGAATGTCAACGCCCTGAGTGTGGCAGGGTGGTGGTGAGGAAGGGGGTGGGTCTAGGAGGCATGTTTCCTTGGTACCCTGGACTTCAAGCTCCACGAAGGGAGGAATGGCTGGAGCATGGCCACTGCAGGCTCCTCCAAAGCATCAGATCCAGGCCAGGGGCCCCCTCTCGTCAAGTCTAAGGTATACGACGTAATTAACCACCCACATCTTAATTCTACAACCTTTAAAGAAATAGGTATAAACAGCCCTTACTCTGATGGGTACCTGTGCCTGCCAGACTGTATACGGAGCAGCAAAAACCCAACACCCCCTAACGCCACCTGAGTGCCATGCTGAAGGCAGCCCAGCAAAGTTAGGTGTCTTACCCCTCCCCTTATCAGATGGAGCGCGGTCAGTTACATCCACACACCTACACCTACACCTACAGTCCAGACTTCCAATGAGTGCCCTAAATTAATTCCTACTCAACAGGCCCGCTCCTTCAAAGAGCTCACAGTCTGATACAGAAAACTCCCAAATCATTACAAAGAGGATAGAAAGCAGTTATTATGAAAGACACTAATAAGATATTACTCTGAAATCACTGAGAGAGGAAGGAGGAATTAACTTCAGCAAGGGTACCAGACGGGGACATTGGAGCCACGCTTTGGAAGGTAAGTAATATATTAGCATTTCTCATGGCTAGAAAATGTCAGTTTCGAATCAGTTAACTTGCAGTTCCTTTAACATTCCACAGATTAAGTTGACTCCCAGTTCCTGTATGACATAACCCACTAAAAAATGTGTATTTCCAGGAAGTGGAAAAATAAATACCCATTTAGTCTGAAAAATTGCAATTCCAAGTCTTTAAATGTCACCATGTATTTGTGAACTGACATATTACTATACCAAATGTATTTTTCCTTTAAATAAAAAAATATAAAACAATGGGAAAAAATTTACATGCAGTACCTTACAGGACTCCTACCCTTTATTATTACCATTAAAGTCTAACCATCACTTTTTCAAGTAAAGTCTGAGTTTCTCCCGGTGTCTTTCCCAGTTGCTAATGTTTTTTACTTTATGTTACCATAAGTAATATAGAGTATGCAGCACAAGCTAGATGCTGAAAAATCAGGTATTAAAGACTGCCCTTTCCTTCTTCCCTATGAAATAATTTGTCTACATTTTCCTGTCTGAACATATCAACTTTCAGCAAGAATGGAATGTTAATTGATGTTACGCACAAGCTGGGCTATCATTCCTCAAATTTAATAAGGTTTCCTGTTTTTATTTATTGTTTTTAGTGCGCATTTGGGGGGATCAAAATAAAGTGTCTCAGTTGTGGCTCATCCTTCCCTCAATTAATGTACCCAAGGAGGCCAGGTCCCTCCATCTGCTCCTCTGATGACCGTCGGGTTCGTAAAGCCTATTCAAGCTTCTCCCCAGGGCTTTGAAACAACATGTGCGACTCCTTCCTAGGGAAGCCGGCAGCCAACCTCACCCTTCCCACTGGGGAAACACAGACTCAGCCCTTTCTGGTGTGATTATATAAGAAAACAAGGGCTCGCCTGACCTAGCCCAAAGCTGGGGCATATTCTTTAAGCACCATCTTGTGCCTTGTCTTCTCAAAATCTGTGCTGTGTGGACAAAGAGGAAACAAGTACAACTTATCTTTCAACAGTGGGGACACACTCCAAGGAATCCCCTGTAAAAGTCCGGGTGCCCTCAGTAAAGTGTACATGTATAATGTTGGAAAAGTAAGTGTTCTCCCTTGTCCAGGTTGCAGTATCTGTATTTCGGGGGTGGAGAAGGAGAACACTTTCGTAAACTGAATGTTTTTTCTGAAGGAAAGTTTTCTCTCTCAGAGAATTTCCAACTCACTTCCCAAATTTCTACTTTCAGCTGAGGCATTACTGGAATGCAGGGAAACAATTTTGTTGAGCAGAATATTAACCTCCTTGCAGCCACCTCCATTCCCCAAGTCACTGTGATGACTGAAGACATGGCCAAACATTTCTCAACAGCACCCCACACCCAAGGCGGTGCTGCCCCTGACCGAGAACCACGTTGAGGCTAAAGATGGACTGTACGTGAAAAATGACATATTTACCCGAGGATTCTTTTTCTTAAGGCTTAATCTAATGCTTTGAGGGCCATGTCTGCAGTCATCATTGAATCCAAGGGATTTTTCCCTTCAACCTTCTGCCCCAGATAAGCAGCATGGAAAAGGGGCAGTTGACTACCTATGGTTGACTCCACTGTAGGTAAAACAGGTCTTTCAAAGAGAAGGGTTATTAATGCCTACTTCCAGGTTTTTCTTATCTTTTGAAGCAGAATTTTGCAAAAAATTCAACTCACAGGAACTATAAGGAGGAATAAAAGCTAACCAAAGTCAATAGCTATTATGGTTTTATGTCCGAAGGAGACAAAGAACAGGATATCATAACTGTCATTCTTTGCCAAAACAGAGCCCTTCGATTTACCCTTTCTCTCTTGGCCTGAATGAAGCCTTTACCTAGCAAGGTGGTGTTAACTTGTTCCTGGGTGACCCAAGTTCACTGTACATTTAATTCTGTCTTCACAGTTGGCACTACAGCTTCCGAGGAGTGTTTACTCAACCTGTGCAGGTACCCTGGCTGTTCCTCAGACCAGGAGGCTGCAGACAGGTCATCGTCCCTGGTGCTGTCTCTTCCCTGACCTTGAACTGTTTCCCCAAGCATAATATATGCAGCTCTGAAAGTAGTGGTTATGGCAAAAAGCATTTGGAAACTTGTAACTGATTCCTTTCTAGTGGCTAAGATGCAACCGCCTATTTCTGCAATGGGTCCTGTCCACAACAAGCCCAGTCCGGATGTGTCTTTAGTCTTAAGCTGAATGCTTTCCTTCTACCCACGGCCATATAAAAAAGTGCAGACATTTTGTCTACCAGCTGACCACTGGCAGTAATGATAAGAGGGGTGTGGAGTGGGGGGCACTTTGTCATTCAAAAGAGGAAGAATAAGTTTAATGAAAAAAGAGCACTCTCTCACTCACCACTGAGGTAAGAGCCATCTGAAAACTGTAGATGCGGGCAAGGCCGAAGTCAGCCAGTTTTATTTGTCCACTGCTGGTCACCAGAATGTTCTGTGGTTTTAGGTCACGGTGTACTACTCGGTGAGAATGAAGAAAGTCCAGGCCTCGGAGAAGCTGAAACATCATATCCTAAATAAAAGCAAAAAAAAGAAAATCAATGAACAGTCAATGTGGAAATTCAACATGCCAAATCCTCAGCACTTAAGAGTGCTTGGCACCCGGAAAGCATTTGATAAATATTTGCTGAATAAATGAATCTGTCTTCCTTCCTACCTCTCCACTCTCCCGTTCTCAAGATCACTACGAAAAATTATTTTACTCTCAACTCATATTTTATTAATGAAAGGGCAATTTAAAATAGTCTCAGAGGGTACGGTAAATATTCTGGGAGGATGGATACCAAACTGGTGTCAGGGGTTCATGTTAAGGAGACGAAGCAGGAGGTGGTGAGAGGGGGATATATTTTACTTCGTATACTCTATATGGTTTAATATTGGATTTCAATAATTAAAACCCAGTGAATGATGATAACACCAACGGTAATTCGTACTATTTTTATAGCGCCAAATACTAAGCAGACACTGTGCGTCCAGCATTGTTCCAAGCACCTTCTGTTTAGTAACTCAAGTAATCCACACCGCCACACTGAGGTCAATAATATCATGCCCCGTTTTACAGGTCAAGAAACTGATACACAGCAGGGGGATGTAATTAGTCCAAAGCAACACCACTAGCAAAAGACAGAGTCTGGATTCAAACAGAGTCCAGAACAACTGGATTCAAATCCTCAACGTACTTCTTTATCAGACCAATGACCACGTCGGTCTGTAAAACCAGGTAAGCCATGTAACCCCCCTGAGCCTATTTTCCTGTCCGTAAAATGGCAAAGCAACAAAACCTATTTCGTAGGATCATGGTTTACACAGCACTAAGCACAGTAGTAAGCAGTCAATACATGGTGGCGATGACTGCCATCATCATTCACCAGCACAAAGCAGGGAGGCATTCAGAAAATAAACCCGTATCACATCTTTTCCTAATTTTGGAACTGATAAAATTAGATACAAGATTTAAAACTCAGAAACAGCACCTGAAAGTAGGAATTTACAACTTCGACCATGAAGTGATGCTCTGAAATCTGGGGTGAATAAGATTGATCTACCCCCTCAAAATATTGTGAGAATGGTGTGTCCAAAGGAGGAGAGAATTACCTTGTTCGTATAAGGCTCAGAAACATGAGGAGGCAGTGTCATGGGCTTTAGAGCGGGCGGGGGCAGTGAGGACACACTCGTTCAGCAGCTGGGCCCCTGATCCTCTCAGGGAGAAGGGTGTATTTGGTTATTGGTTTAAGGAACTGGTTCTTCCTTCAGAGTTGGGAGTTCTGTCTTTACATTCCAGCTTGTTTAAAACCAAAGCCTTAGCGTTCCCATTTGCATAATGGAGAACACAGTGCTTCCTTTTCATAATATTATGAGATTTAAATTAACATAGGCCAAGGGGTGGTGCAGTTTCTGGCACATGGTAACCCTTTAATAAATGATAATCATTAGTGTCTCGTTTGCTGGGGGAGACAGAGTCTCAAACAACTGTAAGAAAATGTGGCCAGTGCCACCAGGTCAGTGAACAAAGTGCTAAGAGTGAGTGAGTGTGCATTGTCAGAGGTGTACTGACATGCTTTCTGAGGTCCGCCTAAATGGATACAGTAGTGCCCCCCTTATTCGTGGTTTCACTTTCCATGGTTTTAGTTACCCAACGCCAACCGCGGTCCAAAAATACTAAACGTAAAATTCCAGAAATAAACAATTCATAAGTTTTCAACTGCATGCTGTTCTAGGTAGTGTGACAAAATCTTGTGCTGTCCCACCTTGGACACGAATCATTCCTTTAGCCCAGCGTAGGCACGCTGTGGACACACCCCGGCTTTTAGTCACTTATCCAGCCGTTAGTTCAGTTATCAGATGTTTTGAGAGAGCAAGTGAGCACATTCACGTAACTTTCATTACAGTACACTGTTATAATTGTTCTACTTTATTATTGGTTATTGCTGTTAATCTGTTACTGTGCCTAATTTATAGATTAAACTTTATCATAGGTATGTATGTAACAGAAAAAGCACGCTATAAGAGGGGGCTAGTGTATTCTGGACTGCCAGGGGTTACCTTCTAAATTTCCAAAGGTGAAAACTCTGGAAAAGACTGCATTGTCGAGGGACAGTCCTTCAAGACTTAAGAACCACTGCAGGTCAAACAACTTGCAACGAATAAACAGGAGTGTGAAAATGAAGCACAAAATGCCGAGGAAAGTACTCTTCTGCTGTGGCAAATAAGTCTTTATTGGAAACATACGCACACACTTGTAAGCACTAAATTTTAAATAGCATGACTAACTTGAATAATGTCATGCTGGCTCATCATCTTTAGCTTCTTATGTACTAAGTACCAACCATTTAAAACAGCACAAAAATAAATCTGCTTGGTTCATGTTTCAGTGTTCAAACAATTTAAGCAGCCAATTAGCAGAATACAATTTAAAAAATTTGAACGAATTAATAAGGCTCATCTACATTTATAAGAAGCCTCAACTAGCGTACAGAAAATGTGCACTGCTTTTATTGTGCATTTATTTATACAGCATGTATTATATTTTCCTTAACTATAAAATTGGTATGTGCTTAATGTGGAAAATTATAAGATTTTTAAGAATTCCAGAGGAAGAACGAAAATCACTCAAAGTTACACCACTCAGAGAACAGAAAAACCTTCACTGTTATATAACTTGTGTGTGTCTTTCTTATCTGTGTCTCAAAACTGTTATGTATTGCCATATTTGTAGGTATAAATATAGTGGATATTTATATTATGATTTATATAACTATTATAATCATAATTTACATAATTATATGCTTGTGCTATATTATATAAAATATATTTATAAATAAAATGGCTATTATTCTGTATATATTATTTTGTGGTTCTTTAAAAAACTTAATTCATTATGGATATTCTGTCATTTCAATGAAACTCTGACAAAAAATTTTTTTATACAATATGATTTTTAATGGCTGCGTGGCTTTCCTCCCTGTGACATGCCATAATCATTATTTGGTTTTAGTTGCGTTATTTGAAACTGATACTAAGAGTCTAGTTCTCCTTTGTTTAAAGGCTAGACTAGATGAAAACGGCTTGTTAACATCCTGTCTAAGCATGGGTTAAGCAGTGCAAATCCACATAAGTGCATTAACTCTGATAAAACATAAATGACGACTATTGATGTAGGAAAAGTTAGTTCTACATAAGAATCATCATTCTTCAGATTTTGTTAGGTTACTGAAAACTTTTTTTGGTTAGCAAACTGGGCTTTCTTTTTTTTTAAGATTTTTATTGGGGAATTGGGGGAAGGGGACAGACAAGTTGCTATCCTTTTGTTCTTCAGTCTAGTTGTGGAGGACGTTGCTTCACTGGCCCAAATTGTCACCATCATTGTGCTCTTCCCGGGCAAGGCAGATCAGTCGCCGGCTTCTGGATGGCCGCTCACTGCGGCTGCTGGCCGCTCACACTGGCTGCTGGCTACATACGGTAGCCCATGGCAACCCACTGCAGCAGGGGCTGCAGCCTACGCCGCTGCCGGTGACTCACGGCAGCCCAGCTCCAGGTTGAGCTGTTGTTCAGCATCTTAGCTGTAGAGGGCAGTGTCACTGGCCCTCACATGTGGGATCTGAACCGGGGCCCTCTAGTGTCCCAAGCCAGCTCTTAACCAATGCGCCACTCGGCCGGCCCTGGGCTTTCTTTTAAACCTGTAATATCTAGCTACTATTAGAGTTTTGACTAGTGAGATTTGAATTAACGATTTAAAAAAAATCTTGCCAAAAATCTCATTAACTTCAGTAAATCGATTGTGAGGTAAGTTAATAAACATAATGGATGTGTAGTAAATATGATTTGGGGACTCTACCTCAATCTTTAACCATCATTCATTGGAACATCTAATCTCAAAAGGGAAATATACTGAACTAGTGTCAGGAACACTGGTCACAATGAAGACATGGTCCCAATTCTTGAGAATGGTATGGGTGAACAAGTTGTAACACTACACAAGGTAAGAAAAAACACCTTTCCTTCAGGATCACAAGAAGTGCTATGATCGAAGATGTTTCAAAGGACTCACTACTTAAGTTTATTATCTGTCCTACCTCTATACATAGTATCATGAGACATACTTTTAAATTAGCTCAAGATTTTAATCTAAATTAATCTGTCTTATACAAGGCAAATATTTCACAGTAATCCGAGTGACGCAATGCGATGAAACTATGGATACTGCCAATTAAGGCTCTTTAAGTTAAACACAGGTTTAAAATCTTTTTATGTTACAATGCACAATCCTGGTATAAAAGGTTTGAACATTTAGCCATACTTATGATAAACAGTCACTTGGGGCCTTCACTGTATCTTTCTGAAACATGTGATGGCTGAAGCATGTTTCAACAGGACACCCTCATGGAACAAAGTCTGGCTCCCAGTGACTTCAGGTGGGGCTCTGTCCCGGCAACTCCCCTAAAAAGACTCTGGACTTCAGTCTGAATACCAGAAATATTTACAGCCTTGTAATTGTTTCTCTTAGGTGTTCTAGAACTCTAGTCCTCTTATTTCTTTAAAAACAAAACAAACAAGCAAACTGAAAACCTACCTCAAGCTTTCCTAATGGGAAAAGGTTTTACCATTGGGCCTTTTATTCCAACTACAAAAAAAGTATAAATAGTTCCCAAAGATACTAAAAACACCCAATTTATTCCATACAGGAAATCACAGAAAAGATGCCTTTCAATGGACAATTCTGTATTTTTTTGATACATCTACCTAATTGAAGTGATATATTCACTCCTCAAAGTTTTAGCAGCAAAAATGTACACCAATAGTTTATCTATTAAAAAATTTAAAATAAGACTTACACAAGTTATAGTCAAGGATAATCATTTTTTCCTTCTTATAATGTGTAAACCACAGTCTTTTCACATTTTTTATTCAAGTTTTGACAGAAATAGCTTCACAATGATTTGTTGTTTCCCATGAAGGGTATTAGAGGACTCTACAGTCTAAAATAGATCACATATAACAAAGGTTTTTTTATAC